ACTGAAATCAGTTGAAGTCCTATTGACAAACAAACAAGAAAAACACTGTATAACTGAAATGTGTTAGTGTATGGCTGTTTCGAAATATAGAATTTATAATCTTCAAGTCTTGTTTCAGTCAAAGTACTGTATTATTTGGGCAATGCAAATAAACTAGTGCCCTCAGTGATTGTATTGTTTACTTCAAGTGATATCTTCCAGTGAAAAATATCGATTATAAGTTTAACAATTATACACGAATGTAAATAAAATATTAACCGGTCGATTGTAAATGTTTATTTTTATTATCAGAATTGGAATTTTTGAGATTGTAGTAGTTTTAACAGTTAAATTAATGAGTCCATCTAAACTAGATCACTACCGAAAACCCGTTACGTCCTAGTATGAGACTATGAATCCACAATTTCACACATGAAACTCGAACTCAGGACCTTCGGTTTCACCTGCAAACGTTTAATCGCCAAACCACTGGATCCGCATCCAACAGTGGTAATGTCTAACCTCAATCCCTCCATAATCTTACACGACCTTTCATCAACTTACACTAATCTCCATTCTGCTCATTAGTGACTAGTTTCAAGATGGATTCACTGTAGTTCTTGTGAGAAGCCATGATCAGTGGAGTTCAATCCGTATCGGGTGTGAGACATTTATTCGCCTCAGACAAAGGGTGAGGGGTTGTGCAAAGTCAGGGATCGATTGAAGTTAGACATTTACACTGCTGGATGCCGATCCAGTGATTTGGCGATTAAACGTTCGTGGGTCAAACGGAAGGTCATTGGTTTGAGCCTCAACTGCGTATTCGTGGATACACACCCTGAGGAGTCCTACGCACTGACAAAACGAGAGTCCAGTGCTTCCAGGTTTTCAGTGGTGGTCTAGGTTAAGTCGACACTTGAATTCAACTGTTAAAATCTATTTTATCTCACATCTCTCATTTTTCATCATTTTGAATTATAGAGCCGTACTGAACCAGATGAAGCTATCAAAGTTTGTGAACATATTGCGAAAATAAAAGGAATAGATTTTGAAACAGTTTGTCAAATAACAACTGAAAATGCATTTAAACTATATGGATCACTGAATGTGAAATGTTAAATTCATGTGAACTGAAACTGAACAAAATACACTATGATATTCAAAGCAAATTACATTTTTACAAGACCATACTTTATTCAATGTATTGTTTATTGTTCACAAAGGATCCAAACCTATCTCATGAAACAGAGGTCAATATCAGTAGTAAAATGTCGAGTGAAGCATATGATGCAGATGCCTTTTAAGTACTTACTTAGTTACGCCAGTTACTTCTAATGGAGCATAGGCCGAAGACCAGCATTCTCCAACCCACTCTGTCCTGCACCTTCCTTTCTAGTTCTATCCAATTTTTGTTCATTCTCTTCATGTCTGTCTCAATTTCTCGACGTTATGTGTTCTAATGTCTTCCTCTTTTCCTTTGGTCTTGAGGATTCCAAATGAGGGCTCGCCTTGCAACGCCGTTGGATGCTTTCCTCAATGTGTGTCCTGTCCACTTCTAGCACTTCTTCCTAATTTCTTCCTCCACTGGAATCTGGTTTGTTCTTTCCTACAGTAGGTTGTTGCTAATAGTGTCCGGCCAACGGATTCGAAGTATTTTTTGTAGACAACTGTTAACAAACACTTGTATGTTCTGGATGATGGCTTTCGTAGTTCTGCATGTTTCCGCTTTATACAGTAGAACTGTTATGACATTTATACTGGAAGTTCTAGCTTTGGTGTTTGTTGACAGTTGTTTTGAGTTCCAGATGTTCTTCAGTTGTAAACCTGCTGTTCTTGCTTTTCCGATCCGCGCCTTCATATCTGCATCAGATTCACCATGTTCATCAAACGCTAACCAGAAAAAGTTATTCAAACTTTTGAAAATCTGCCTTTTAAGTAAATAGCATCTAATTAAAGAATAATTACATGAAAAACCTATTTAAATAAACATTTTTACAGTAGTGACTTAATTGAACAGTGAATGGTTATAAATACAGTAGTGTTGTAATGAAGAAGAAGAAGAAGTCAGGTGGGGAAGATCAAAATACTAAATAACGCAAAACCCCAGAGTTCTTTCTTAAAATATGAAAAACTATACATTGAATACTTCATTTGAAAATCTTTCATCAGTTGTTTAAAACTTCATCGTTCCTTCATTGTTATTACAATTACTCTCTCGCTTTACATTCTCGTTCTCTTCAATTTGACCTTAACCGTCTGTTGCCAGGTATTCCACTTCTGATTATTATTACTACATATTACTTATATCGACAGATATAAGTAGACTACGGAAAATGACTGACTCGTCTTAGATGCATGACATTTTTGAATTGAATCGTTTACAATTTACCTGCTTTTGGTCTATGTACATCTTGCTTTGGTCATGCTGAACAGCATTCATGAGAATGAAAATGCAAATTCCTGAAACGTAGATCAGTATAACCTGCTTAACAAAACAAGTTTAATTGACAAATGGTTGTAGTTTAAATACACAAAACATTCTTCCTAGCTATTTCACCTCTGAAACATAGGCACATTAATATAGTCGTGTTTTACTTTCAATAGACTACTTCAAATATATGCTTTTCCGTCGAAAATTAGACATTCGTTTTAAATCATTGAATACAAGTGAACTTATATATTAGTATACGATTGTGGAGATTATTAAGTTTTTGATGGAGATCATGAACTGATTGATGTTAAACCACGATTGAAAAACTGGAAGCACTGGCCGGCCATTTTTTCCTACTGTGGGACTCCTCAACAGCGCGCATCCACGATCCAGCACGCAAGATTTGAACCCAAGGCCTTTAGTCTCGCGGGATCGTGGATGCGCACTTCTGGGGAGTCCAACAATAGGACGAAATAGCCATCCAGTTCTTCCAGGTTTTCAATGGTGGTCTCACATCAATCGGTTGATTATCTCAACCATAAACTTATATAACTTGTGTATTTTCTTATTTATTAACTCTAAAATATTCAGCTTATTTTTAGAGAAAATTTTCACTTAATTGAATCTTATTTTACCTCATTATTTCACTTGTAGTAAGGTTCGCACTCAAGGACTTAATCCTTAATTGTATAGTGATAATTTACCACCTCTTATAAATGGTGTATGATAATTATATACGCAAACTACAAACGTATTATTATTAAAGAAAGTCGTCTGCTCATTAGTGATTAAATTCTTGAACTTTTGGTGATAGGTATGATACAAATACCATCAGCTTTCTAAAATACTTGAACATAGAAACGTAGACCATTGGATTTTAGCATAATGGGTCAAATCTAATGTGATCATTGACAGGTTTAAAGTCCTGGATCCAATCTTTAGAAAAATAGTTGACACACTTTATCGATCTTATGCTTTGATCAAGTCACGTTTTGAACATCCCTCGATTTTAGTGGTCAACTAGCTATAATCAGCCTGTGAATCGATGTAAAATTATCACTCTAGTACGTCCGTAAGTGAATGCATATATCTATGAATTGTGATCATTAATGTCAACAGCAAAGCCAGTGATACAAGATACATTATTTTGGTCCATATGTACAAGAAAACCGTTTATTTGGAAGTGCTTTACAAAATTTTGTTACTTACAATATCAGAATCATAGTGAGTGTTTTTTAGAAAGTTATCAATTGCGGATAAAGCTGTACAATAAGTTCATTACATAAGCATAACTAGATTACTTTTAAGTAGTTACTCATCCACTTGATAAGTCGATGCCATCCTTTCTGAGTATAAAACCAAGGTTTGAGTTATGTATACTATTGATAGAGACTAAATAATGATCTACGCAAAATCTTCTATCTGCACTTTCTTGTACGCTGTTCACCAACTCTTTATCAAACATATCTACAATATGAGATATTATACCTTATTGATTCTTCCGCTATCCGAACTGCCTTTCAGTTAATGGATCTTCATCACTGCGCAGAAGTGTAATTTACGGTCACTATGTTTCTTGACAATTCCCTACCTCCAAGAACTCACTGGTTATTTGCTTCTTCCCATAAGAGAGATGGTTAAGAAATACAAACTAAAGAGGTGTAAGTTTCTCAACTCACTTTGATACCATCATAGTCTTATCAGTGGTTTCTGATACCCTATTCTCTAAATCTAGTGGTGAATAAGACACAGTGGTTTCTAGATTGGCTTTGCAGTCTATATTGGACAAATATCCCATTTGTTCGTAAATTATATTTGACCTAATGGTCGATTATGTTATCTGCTGAACATTCAAAAAGCTTATGTTTGAGTAAATCTACGTTGAATTAACGAGAAGACAGTTCTTTTTCCCTACCGTATAGATCATACAGAATTTATCTCGCTCTGTCATTGGCCAAATGACAAGGTAAAATGATCCAATATTAAAACGCTATCCTGAACGTTTTCATGCAGTATTAAAGTACCAATCACAAGAGCCAATACTACTACGCTTAAGCAGGTTTCCAAATTTAGAGCCATGCGAAAATGATGTACAATAAGACATTTTCTGTATAAAAGGTAGAAAATCAATAAAATTATCTTCTTTATAGACTAATTTAACTTGAATTGTCTACTTTTATGCGGATGCAGACATCGCAGGATAAGTTATATAATTAGCCTAAATTTCACGTAGACGTTTGTGTTGACGATGACCCAGCTCAGAGGACAAAACCCCATCAATTTCATTCACCTGAGCTACAAATCTTCTACACCATCTTAAGTCTTTACATCATATTCCTTATTTCATTCTTGTCGCCATCAGTCACTAATTCAATTCTCGTTGTAACTGAATGATGTCAAACAACGAATTACTGACAAGTAATTTCAGTCAATATTACATTTTGTCGAACTGATTGTCTGATGAAGAACTCATAGGGGATACATGTTAAAGTTTTATACTACTAATATAAAAAAAGGAAAACGTTTATTCTTTACTTTGACAGAAAATTACTGATTACATATCATAGTTAAACTCGAAATCAATAAAGTACGGATCGTCATTTTGGAACTACAGTTCGATCAAATTCAATGATTACCTGGAATTTAATTAAGAATATTTGTGAGTAATTAGTAATATGATCAATTAGCAAATACACTTACATTCGGTATGAATGGTTGTAAAAATATAAAACTTCTTAATCGACTTTGTTCAACATATATGAATTCATTTGGTCAATCACGTCGTAGATCTCACCAAAAACTACCATGTGTTTGATTGTCAATTAGGAATTGAAATCACTTGATCGAATTGTCACTTCACTAGACTACATCTAAAACATCTATTTAAATAGACAATTCACTTCAATAGGTATAGTGTATGTAATCTATTAAACTGATCTGTAGTAAAATATAACACTATTTAACATCTCTCCATTGTCAAATCACAATAATTTCATTGACATGCAACAACGGAAAACGGATTGAGTATTCATTGACAAGATCATTATCAGTAAGTCATTCAATCCGTTACTTACGTAACATATCTATGATTTTCGACAATAATTTATGCTGATCTGAAATTTAGGTAAATGAATGATCATTAACGCTGACATCTATCTGATTATCGAAAAAAATAAGAAATTACATCATTAGATATTTCCTGCTTATCTAGCATAGATCTATTCTATACACATACGGTTGAACTCCTTCATAAGTGTGCTTGTCAAAGAAATATTTATTTGATTAATTGAAGTTTATTTAATGCCCATCTAACTTTAGCTACCGAGTCATTGAAACAAAATACTATTTCACAATGCACTCGTTGATCTCCTTCATTCAAACTGTTTGAAATATGATTGGTCAGTTGTGTAATTGAGTTTAAATATGACTATGATTTCTTAGAGAACCAATAAACTGGATCTTAACCCTATGAAGTTACTTCCACTACCTACAATTAAAAACTGAATCGTTACTAGACACTATGTATTACATTTCAGCTTGTATATTTCCATTGTCTAGTCATTTACAAATCATACAGTTACCTGATAAGTAAATGAAACACAATTCATATCTTGCTTACATAGATTGAAGTTAAACAGATAAATGTCATAGAATTTCATATTAATATAAACATTTATTTCTTCTAAATCTAAAAAACAAAAGAAAAGTAGAAACGTTTCTTTCAAAGAAGCATCTATAAGTCTTAGTTATTTAAAATATATCATTCAATTTGTTGTGAGCATTAAGCCAATAAAAACCATTGTATAACAAGATTGGATTATGGATATGATTTAGGTAACTGAACTGCAAAACATTATGATTTGTCCATCTCTTCCTCAAATTCTCAAATAACTATCAAAATTATAAGCAAAGATGGATGGTGGTTAGTAGTGGAATCTAGGATGCGCGCTTCGTCCTAGTTTGGACTCGTCAGCCGGATGTACCTTTGTTTCAGAGTTGATGTTCACTCTGGGACTCGAATTCAGTAACGTTCGCTTCAGAAACCATCGCGTTATTCACCCAGCTACTACTCACGACCTGTCAAAATTGTTTTGATTATTTAGTCCATAAAATAAAAATATTGATTTCACCATCGTCTTAGCTGACTAGACTTACATGACATCATGAAATGCTTGATTTCATAAGTGTCACATCTGATATTATTCATTTTAAACTACAATTTAATTCAAGATAGTGGCATTTATCCTTTTATTTTACAAACATTCTATATACAATTATTTCAATATGATTGTAGACAGGTTATGTACTATACCGTAACTTCATTATTGTAATTATGTTAGTTCATTGTACTGTGGTAAACTGATTAGATACTATAGAAAACGAGTATTTAGTCAAATAAAAATAATACTAAATGTCAATTTTGTAAATTCATGTTTATATTGTCTACTATTATTATTTTAATATTTGAGATCATGAGTTCATTGAAGCTCAACCACCACAGAAAACCTGGAAGCACTAGACAGCCGTTTCGTACTAGTTTGGAACTCCTCAGCAGTGTGAATTCATGATCTCGCCTCTCGATATTCGAACCCAGGACCTATAGGTCTCACACATGAACGCTTAAGCCCTAGACCACTAAGCCGGCCGACATCTAACGATGTTAATGTCTAAGTTCAACTGATCCACGAAATTGAGCCACCGTCCACCATTGTCTTCAGTGAATTACTAACTTACAACGGACCCGGTTGAACTCCACTGAATACTACTTCCAGGTTTTCCATGGTGGTCTAACTTTAATTGACTTATGATCTCAACTAATAAAATTACTATAATATCCACAAAACCCATACTGATATTATTATTATTATTATTATTATTATTATTATTATTATCATAAAATATAATTTAAGTCAAGTTACCTGAGGTACTGTATCTTGTCAGCATTTGACATGTTTTTTCACTGTGTTCAAACTTCATTTCTAATTATTTGAAAAGGAGAAATAAAAAAGTTTATTCACTTCACCAATTCATATATAAAACCTAATTGATTATTTCATTCATAATATATATTAATCAATTTGTTTTTATAAGAATGGGGTTTGGTGGAGATTTTAGTAATTTATAGTTGAATTCATGAGTCAATGAAAGCTAGATCACCATGGAAAACCTATAAGCACTGCACAGTCGTTTCGTCCTCAGCAGTGAGCGTCCACGATCTTGCCCCTCAAGATTTGACTCTAGGACCTATCAGTCTCACGCAAGAACGCTTAACCAAAAGACCACTGAGCCGGCATCCAACGGTGTTAATGTCTAACTTCAACTCATGCATGAAATTGAACGACATATCCACCATTGTCTTCAGGGAGTTACTATCTCACAACAGACCCGGTTGAGCTCCACTGGTCATGGCTTCAACCTTACTATTGATATCAATAATTGTGTTGGTTTATAGTAAATAAATAGATGAAATTCATTCCTTATTCCAAACGTCATCATAAATTTAGCGGGAACTAAGAAGTATTTGGTAATATATGTGATGTACTTATATTGCATAGGAACTATGCATATATCTGTAGACAATTATATATAAATAATAATTTCATTCATTAATTGAATGTGATAAGAATTTCCATGAAATCGAACTTGAGCTATGGGTATTGGGTGCACTATGAGCCTTATCATGCTGAAATTAATATGAAAGTAAACATTTGCAATAGAGGTAAGAAAAACTATATGTAAGAATAAGTTACTTTATTGTAACTATGCAAATGGTATTTGTGAAATAGTAACACCCAAAAACCGATTACAAAACCACTAATAAAGATAAAATAGAGCCAACTGTAATTTCACTGGTTGAAATCATGAGTCAATTGAAGCTAGACCACCATGGAAAACCTGGAAGCACTGGACGACCGTTTCGTCCTTGTATTGGACTCCTCAGCAGTGCACATTCACGATCACGCACCCGACGGGATTCGAACCCAGGATCTACTGGTAATTGTCAGATGCAAACACAATTGTGAATACAATGGCGTAATACCATCTACAGCGATCTGTGAAGTGTGAAACAAATGTAATTATTAGGAAGCAAATAACGTAGATCATGAATGGGAAAGCAGAAAGACCTGACAGCTAAGGTACTGTAGTTCAACACAGAAGCAACTACATAAATGTTTGACAATGTCTTTAGAAAGAGTTGAGAGGAAGAACAAGTACCAAGAGACTAGAAAGATTGATACCGAAGAAAGTAGATTTCAGCAAGTGTGAGAACTACAGAGGCACCTTGCCACTATTAGTATAAAGAAACATTTTACAGATTGTTTTTTAACCGAATGAATGTTTCAGTAGACTCACAGCTTTCAGATCGACAGGTTGAATTCTGTAGAGATCGGTCGTGTATTGACTAGATTGTGACACCAGTTAAGCGGAACCCACTACCTTATATCACCTCCCTTCATTATGAGAAATCGTTAAACAACTTGTATAGGAGAATCTTATCTATTCTTCTTAGACACAATGGTGTACTTGAAGATCATAAAGAACTTTTGCAAAGGACTACTCTCCAAACTAACGTTGTGCAAAGCTACTGACTTTCACCTGCTGGTCGAATGGGTTGTTAAGACTACCACATCTTAGAGAAAGCACGGAATACCATGGACAGTTTGCAGACAGCTAGACGATTTAGACTGCACAGATAACCAATCTCTTTTGTCCCATATACAGTAGTAAATGCGGGTGAAGACAGCTAATGTAGCAGGTAACACATTGTGAAAATCACCAAACTGGATCACAAAGTAAGCCTTAACTTGGATTCCTCAATGTAAGTGAAAAAGAGGCAGATAAAAGAACACATAATTTTGGAAACCGGAGGCTGACATCAAGAAACGAATAGCGCTTGGGAGCAACTGGAATGAAGAGTTTAGGACGAAAATGGTTATAGATTACTGATCGACAGCCTATGCTCCACTTGGAGTTATAGGAGTAGGCAAGTGAGTGAGTGAGTAATTAAGCGAGCAAACTGGTAGGTGGGTTAGTAAGGCAGAAAGAAAGTAAATAACATGAATTGGATTCGATTAGAACATTTGAGGCATACAAATGATTGAGGCGTATGCCAATAGACTTCAGGTAATTCAAGATTTTGACTTACTATTATAATGTACAGCCACCTTATTAAAACATATATTCAGTTTCGTTAAATCCAGATGGATTGTCGCTATGTGGAGTTGAAAACATTGAAAGAATGTCAAATTTTACGACTCTGCAGAAATACAGCAATTCAATATATGTAGTATAAGGGGTTTGTGACTCCTTATACTCAGTAATCAGGACCGAATTCGATCAATCACTATCGCCACATTTGCATTTTGATATGGAGATACCGACGGAGTGCAGGATGCATTTCGTTAGCTTTAAGATACATCAGTTGGAATTAATTACTCTCAGTATTGATGTCCACTATAGATTGTACAGTGTAGGTTTGAATCTAAAATTACTGGGTTCAATCTTCAATGTTAACGTTAACATTGGGATACGGATATACCCTACTGACTAGTCCGTGTTGTTTTTTTTTGAAATTTATACAAAACGAGGTTTCGTATTCCCGTCTTTATATGCTTAACAATCGTTATAGTAGGTCAATCTGATTCAAATAATAAGAGATTTGGAGTTATTAAGAACACTTACGATATTCATGTTTTATAACTTCTGCATAATTCATGAAAGCTACAAAACAACTCAATAGAAACATAAATGTAAACTATTGGGAATGTTTGTAAAGAAAAGTGATCTGACGTAATATTAAAAATTATAATAAACTTCAACTAATTCTTTCTATCATACGCAAAGACAATTGAAAGTAATGAGAGTACACTTATAGGCTTCAACATTTATAAATCAACCAACTCCTCATAGAAGAAACGTCAGAAAACTCTCATTCATAGAAACTATTTTATTTCAACTGACCATGTATATTGATCTGAATAAATCAAATAAACGTGCATTCTAAGCAAAGATGAATAGTAGCTAATAGTGGAACCCAAAAGGAGCTTTTCGTCCTATTTGGGACTCATCAACTGGATTTATCTGCATCCCGGAGTTTATGTTCACTGAGCGCCTCAAACCTGGTACAGTTCTCTACAAATGCCATCGTGCTATCCACTTAGATACTGATTTCTGATAGCCACTTTCTTAAACAATGTGGTGAGGTTTCAATTGACTTGGTATTGTTTACGTGAACCTTCCCATTGATGTTTAAGACTGTAACTGATCAATCTTTTATCGGCATATATGAAAAGCTTTGCATATCAGGGCAGCTTCGTTGATAAAAACGGTGGATCTGATGCAGATGTGAAGCTAGAACTTCCAGTATAAATGTCAAAACACTTCTACTGTATGAAGCGGAAACATGCAGAACTACGAAAGCAATCATCCAGAACATACAAGTGTTTGTTAACAGTTGTCTACAGAAAATACTTCGAATCCGTTGGCCGCACACTATTAGCAACAACCTACTGTGGGAAAGAACAAACCTGATTGCAGTGGAGGAAGAAATTAGGAAGAAGTGCTAGAAGTGGACAGGACACACATTGAGGAAAGCATCCAACTGCGTTGCAAGGCGAGCCCTCATTCGGAATCCTCAAGACCAAAGAACACATAACGCCGAGAAAGGGAAACAAACATGAAGAGAATGAACAAAAATTGGATAGAACTAGAAAGGAAGGCGGAGGACAGAGTGGGTTGGAGATTTATGAACGGCAGCCTATGTTCCGCCTGGAGTCCCTCCGTCGGCTACTGCCGATCCCAAGCCCGGATAAAGGAGGAGGGTTGGGCATGGGGTTAGCGTCCCCATCCCGTAGAAAACTAACTCGCTAAAAAAACGCTAACCAGAAAAACGTTTTCGAACTTTTTAAACTCTGCCCCGGGAGTCAGAAGGTCTTCATTTAGAAGAACTATGACGCCTCATGATGAAAGCCGAATTCCTTCGGAAGTTACGAGGCCGATACCCCTTCTGACAACCAGAGCGACCATTTATTTAGGTACATGGAATGTTCGTACAATGTGGAACACCGGGAGAGCCTTCCAAATTGCTGTGGAAATGAGGAAATACAACCTAGAGGTACTTGGGATCAGTGAAACACATTGGACGTAAGTTGGACAACAACGAATAACTTCAGGAGAGCTTCTGTTATACTCCGACCATGAATAAGAAACTGCCCCACATACACAAGGAGTTGCACTGATGCTGTCCAAACAAGCACAAAATGCACTAACAGGATGGGAATCTCATGGACCAAGGATCATCAAAGCCTGGTTCAAAACAAAAAAGGAGGGCATTACAATGAATATCATCCAATTCTATGCGCCTACCAACGATTACAATGAAGACGCCAAAGACCAATTCTACATTAGGCTGCAGTCAAACATCGAGAAGTGCCAAACAAAGGACCTGACCATTCTGATGGGAGACTTCAAGCCAAGGCTGGAACGGACAACACTGGATATGAAAACATCATGGGACGACATGGACTGGGAGAAAGAAACGGAAATGGTGAGAGATTTGCAAACCTATGTGCCTTCAATAAACTGGTCATAGGCGGCACCATATTCCCACATAAACGCATACACAAAACCACATGGACTTCACCGGATCACACCACGCAAAACCAAATCTACCATATTTGTATCAACAAAACGTTCAGGAGGACTATAGAGGACGTGAGAACCAAGAGAGGAGCTGATATAGCATCAGATCATCACTCGCTGGTCGCCAAGATGAAATTGAAACTCAAGAAGCAATGGACAATGGGGCGGACAATATCACAAAAGTTCAATACGGACTTTCTTCAGGATACTAACAAACTCAACAAATTCAACATAGACCTCAACAACAAGTTCCAGGCCTTTCATGATCTACTCAATGGAGAAGAAACTACTGTTGAGAGTAACTGGAAGGGGATCAAAGCGGCAATCACTTCAACATGTCATGAGGTCCTGGGTCACAAGAAGCATCATCACAAGGAATGGATCACTGTTGATACACTGGATAAGATTCAAGAAAGAAGGAACAAGAAGACAGCAATCAATACCAGTCGAACAAGAGCAGAAAAAGCCAAAGCACAAGCTGAATAAACAGTAGTAAACAAACAAGTGAAGAAGAGCATCAGAACCGATAAACGTAAATATGTGGAAGATTTAGCAAAGACGGCGTAAAAGGCTGCAAGAGAAGGAAACATGAGACAGCTGTATGACATAACAAAGAAACTCTCTGGAAGTCGTCGCAAACCAGAACGACCAGTGAAAAGCAAGGAAGGTGAGGTAATCACCAACATTGAAGAGCAACGAAATAGGTGGGTAGAACACTTCAAAGAACTCTTGAATCGACCAGCCCCACTGAACCCACCCAACATCGAAGCAGCACTCACGGACCTCCCAATGAACGTTGGCCCACTAACAATTGAAGAAATCAGCATGGCCATCAGACAAATCAAGAGTGGCAAAGCAGCCGGACCAGACAACATTCCAGCAGAGGCACTAAAAGCAGACGTAGCGGCAACTGCAAGGATACTCCACATTCTCTTCAATAAGATTTGGGATGAGGAATGAGTATCAACAGACTGGAAAGAAGGACTTCTGATCAAAATACCGAAGAAAGGCGATCTCATCGACTGTCATAATTACAGGGGCATCACTCTTCTCTCAATACCGGGAAAAGTCTTCAACAGGGTATTGTTAAACAGAATGAAGGATTGCTTAGACGCCCAACTTCGTGACCAACAGGCAGGATTCCGTAAGGATAGATCGTGTACAGACTAAATCGCAACTCTACGGATCATTGTGGAACAATCAATTGAATGGAATACATCACTCTACATCAACTCCATTGACTACGAAAAAGCGTTTGACAGCGTGGACAGAACAACACTATGGAAGCTTCTTCGACACTACGGCGTGCCTCAGAAGATAGTCAATATCATACAGAATTCATATGATGGATTAAACTGCAAAATCGTGCATGGAGGACAGTTGACAAAGTCGTTCGAAGTGAAGAACGGTGTCAGGCAAGGTTGCTTACTCTTACTCTTTCTCTTTCTCCTGGTGATCGACTGGATCATGAAGACGTCAACATCTGAAGGGAAGCACGGGATACAATGGACATCTAAGATGCAATTGGACGATCTAGACTTCGCAGATGATCTGGCCCTTCTATCCCTAACGCAACAACAAATGCAGGAGAAGACGATCAGTGTTGCAGCAGCCTCAGCAACAGTAGGTCTCAATATACACAAAGGGAAGAGCAAGGTTCGCCGATACAACACAGCGTGCACCAATCCAATCACAATTCACGGAGAAGATTTGGAAGATGTAAAAACCTTTACATATCTTGGCAGTATCATTGATGAACATGGTGGATCTGATGTAGATGTGAAGGCGCGGATCGGCAAAGCAAGAGCAGCATATTTACAACTGAGGAACATCTGGAACTCAAAGCAACTGTTAACCAACACCAAGGTCAGGATTTTCAATACAAATGTCAAGACAGTTCTACTGTATGGGGCGGAAACCTGGAGAACTACGAAAGCAATCATCCAAAACATACAGGTGTTTATTAACAGTTGTCTACGCAAAATACTTCGAATCCGTCGGACGGACACTATTAGCAACAACGTACTGTGGGAGAGAACAAACCTGATCCCAGTGGAGGAAGAAATCAGGAAGAAGAGCTGGAAGTGGATAAAACACACATTGAGGAAAGCGCCCAACTACGTCACAAGACAAGCCCTCACATGGAATCCTCAAGGCCAAAGGAAAAGAGGAGGATCGAAGAACACATTACGCCGAGAAATGGAAATAGACATGAAAAAGATGAACAAGAATTGGATGGAATTAGAAAAGAAGGCCCAGGACAGAGTGGGTTGGAGAATGCTGGTCTGCGGCCTATGCTCCATTAGGAGTAACTGGCTTAGATAAGCAAGTAAGCATACTGTGTGTATTGCCTCGATATTTCTAAACAAAGATAAACTATATGATGTCGATGTAGCATTCACAGTCATGCTCTAGTCATTAATAAGAACGAATAAAATTTTTAGATACTGAACTTCATCGAGTTTCCTAAATGAATTTGATTTGTAGGTCAATGGATTTGAAAATCAACATGGAACACTTAAATAATGAAATGTTGCATCAATATCAAATAATTGAATGTGACTAATTTATCTTACCAGACATAGAAATAAGAGCTGCATCAGCAGCCTCACGTTTACTTTTGCAGTTGATATCTAGAATCATAAGTGTAATTAAAACATTGAATTGTTTCTTTTCACATACATTCGTTTATTTCCCAATCTTTATAGTAACTTCCTTTGGTTATTTCATCTGAAATGTACACACGAAAATTTGGGGGGAACTTTTTTATCATTAAATTATGTAATATAGAGAAGATTTGTAGCTCAGGTGAATGATTTTGATAGAGTTTTGTTCTCTGAATTAGATGGTTTGGTCGTAGATCTTTCGTCATTCTTCTGAACGGCATCATAAACATAAACTCCTACCAAACCATCCAGCTGAGAAAACAAAACTCTATCAAAATTATGTAACGTATATTGCGATACTCAAATTATCAAGTGTCCATATTATTTATCGAATCTATTTGTAATCAGATAAGAGGTTTTCTTATAAAATAAATGATAAATGATAGGTGTGCCGAAGTTACAGTGAAAAACAATATCAAAATGAGAATGAGTAGCACGAATATATGGAAACTGTTCATCTGAATTAAAAATGACAGTAATGTAGAGTAGCTTTCTTAAAGAATAAAGTGATTTATTTACACTTTAAAAATGAACTTTTCTTACTATTCAAATGATGTATAGCTCGATCAAACAAACATGATGCATGAGTTCAGAATTTTCAACGCCAATTACACTCTGCTCCAGTCATTTAATTTGACAATACTGGGAAGTTGAATAACTCCGCCTATAGCTCTTCTAGAGTTACTGCCGATTCCAAGCTCGGGTAAAGGAGGAGGGTTGGGTATGAGTTAAGCGACCCCATCCCATAGAAAACTAACTCACTAAAAAAACACTTACCAGAATTAAGGGAATCTGAATGAAAGTGATCTGATTATGGAATTATCATGTTAATTATTTACCATCTATTCAATTCAGAAAACTGATACATGAGAAACGATTGGAATTTCTATAGATTTCAGCATTTGCATTGTCTTCATACTGGAACTTTTGATGCTTAAATCATCACACTGGAAATGGTTATGGAGAGAGTATTGACATGGTCAAACATCTAGGCTGAGGTTTTGTAAATCACGAAACTTTAACACTGATATTCCTATTTAAGACTGTCATCAATACCTAATTATGTATGTTAATCGTTTGTACTTAATTCAATTAAAGTTTTACAACTTATCGTGATTCAAGTCTCTGTGAAAAAATCCACAAGTACCATCAAAGAGGCTCAAACAAACAATCTTGATATTTCCTCCTTCATTTCAATAACATTATTTATATTATAAATATGACAATGAAACAAAAATAGTTTATACAAAGAAAGCTGAATGTGATAGCATTAATTTGACTTCACAGTTACTGACACCGGTAAGTGCTTATGGATTAGAATGTAGGGCCAGTGAAATGTCACTGAGTCCTAACCAAGTCATCCATCGATTAAGACACTAAATATCGAACAGTTCACTGATCACAATTGATTGATCACTGGGTGGTGATCAATGTCATGCTTGTCTAGTCCTTATTAGTGCAGATCGAATGCTATCGACCATTTTGCAATGTGGCCACCAGTCTAGGTGACTCGACACTGCGGACACTATGTATTGATATTGAGATGGTAGTTGGAGGTAGTCAACAGGAAACCCTGGACCGGGGTTTCGTGCTACTTGGCACTCGTCAGCAAGGTGTACCTGTATTCTTGAGGGAACTGGTGCTCCCTGGTAGATTCGATCTTGTGTCACCCAGCTTCACAGTCAGAAACGTTACCACTGAGCTATCCGAGCCGTGACTAACCTCCTGTAGGACTGAGATGTAATCACAATTGATTGATCACTGGGTGGTGATCAATGTCATGCTTGTCTAGTCCTTATTAGTTCACTGATTCTCGTCAAGTTAAAAGACAACCAACGGGCATCAATTAACCACATTCCATGGACTGGTCCATGCTGTGGTAGTTTCAATATCTTCCTTGTGCCCACTCTTACTGATATATTTCTGTAATAACGTCTTTTATGTTATAAGGTCTTCAAAGCATTCATAGTACCTTGATGGGAAAAAAGGGTAATAATCCACGTTAGGTGTCAACAGTGAGGTGTGACTTAGACCCCCAGTCATTCGACACAGGTCATCTAAGTTAGTGATCTACAAGAACTAGCTTCATTAGTTGAACAACTGGAAATAATGAATGCAAACAATCATTCATCGTGTCAAATTTGATTTGACTATACATTTACGAGCATAAAATATTGAAATGCACAACTACAAAACGAAATTACTTGTAAGTTTTGTTATTTCTTCATCGTAGTAGTCGATCTCCCCTGAACCATAATTCAGTAAATAACCTATTTAAACAAATATATCATATTAATCAAACAAATTTTATGGATTATCAGTATAGGGTTTAGGAGACCATTACGTTTTTGATTAGGATCATGAACTGATTAATGTTAGACTGCCATTGAAAACCCAGAAGCACTTCACAGCCGTTTCGTTCGATTGTGGGACTGCACGACAGTGAGTATCCAAGATCGCGCGCGCGGGATTTGAACTCTAGACCACTGAGCTGGCTGGCATGCGACGGTGTTAATCCTTAACTTCAACCAATCCACGAGATTGCGCGACCATCTTCCATTATCTTGAGGTAGATACCTATCTCTACCCGACACAGATTAGCTCCACTGGTCACGGCTTCCCTCACGAAGCTAGTCACTAGTGAGCACATGGTCGCTCAACGGTGTAGAAGTTAGGCGTTCGTGCGCGAGACTGAAGGTCCTCAGCTCGAATCCTGCGAGCGGGATCGTGGATGCGCACTGCCGAGGAGTCCCACAATAGAACGAAACGGTCGTGCATTGCTCCCCGGTTTTCAATAGTGATCTAACATCAATCGGTTCATGATCTCAATCAAAAAGAATTTTATGGATATCTGTATGTTATAGACTATTATGCACATCATACCAAACAATTAGTCTACTAACATTACTTTACAAACAATGTGATACACACATCAAACTCAAATTAATGAACACAAACGATATGTAATACTGTATGTTGTCGGAATATGTTTGATAGTCTAATAAATAAACTTTAAATATCAACTGTTACTTACGTTTACTGACAACAAATTCATCTTCAGCTTTCTTCAGATATTTCGAATTTATATCTGTAAAGAAGAAATAGTATTTGTTACAACAATTTTCATTAAATTTTCTATGTTGATCTTCAACATTCAACTGAATTGATTCTGATTAGTTACAACATATTAATGTCATTGCATTGTAATGAAAATAATTCATAAGAAATCGGTTGGAATCAATTGTCGATCTCATTGATGTTCATGCTCATTCACTTCACAAACTTTTCATATGGTTTGATTAACAATGTCAATTATGTTAAATTACTATTGAGATAACCTTTGGAAAGTGACATTTCTAAAAGAAGATTAGTGATGAAATATCATCAAAGTATTCAACTCAAGTAAAATTTTCGACTTAATCGATGGTATGATCGATCTTTGTCAAATGTTTGAGTTTTCCTGTTGAATTGAAGCGGTATACTTTTATTTAAATTCCATCTCAATACTATTCAGAAACTAAAGACAAACCAGACAAATTCAACAATCCACATGAATAACGAATAACTTTAAATATGACTGATGATGATGATGATGATGATGGTGGTGTTCTGATTCTATTTGTACACCGGATCATATGTCATAATAAAAGGAAGTGCATTTGCAAAGGGTAGATTAAATAAACTTGTTAACTCACCAGTCTGTACGGATATGTGAATAAGTAGAATGGTTTGAAACAAAACTGAATAATACATATTGATTGAATCCGATGGATTTCTTCTCTTCGTTCTTGTTATATCCTAGTGAAGATTGAATTATGAGCAACTTCTGAGATCTATTAATGGACTAATATTTTCTGTATATTTTTTCGGTATAAATATTCAGTAATTAGATTATTTATATCTATATTTTCCTTATTATAAGCTTCAGTTTGACCTATAATTTATTATCATACGATTTACTGTTCTTAAGTTACATTCAGTTTATTGATTACAGTCTCCAACGTTCACAATTACTTTTTGGCTTGATCTTGTATGTGTGTGGTGTGATGCTACCTGTTTGGTTAGTATATAAACCAAGTATGTCTAAAATAAATAATTCGCATAATAGAAGCTGTTATTGGCGTTGTGAACTTGACTCTCAGAGGTAGGCGAACAAAGGTCCAATAAAGACTCTACGCTGCTCATATCACCTTCTGTTATACATGGTGAGAGTGAGGTTAAATAAACAAGGGTATTAGAAAAAAAAATTTTAAACAAGGAAAGTTTAATAATTGTTTGATAGTTAATGGCTTAAATATTCATCAGGTAAGGATGGTTCAGCATGATAAAGTAAAATGTTGAAACAGAGATGAAACGTAATCGGAATGATCGTGGAAATAAAAACAAACCAATTGGGGGTAGAAGATTTGAAGGGAAGATGGAAGGTGAAGCAGGTGGTTGTAAGAGAACAAGAGTATGAAGAAATAGAAAAATTTTAATACATTAAGACTATGGTAGAAGAAGAGGTTGTACCAGTCTCTTTTGTACACATAATTCTGGTTTTTCAAAATGTATGGCTATTGCCTCGGGAATGCAAAGAAAATGCAGTCTAATTGTCTTAGGAAGCCTTCTACTCACCTTGTAGATGACTTTGAACGCAGAGTCTGTTCACAAGGTGTTCGATTGTAGAACTGCTTATTGAGCTGTTGCCTCTTCTTTTTAGCAATACCGGACAATGTTCTTGAATTATTTTGGATAAACACTATGTCTTCGTCTTTCCATTTTTATATCCTCTTAAATGATGGACGGCAGTGAATGTCAAATATAAATTAAATGATGAAAACAATGAATTATGCGTTGGCAGTAATCAGCAATTGAATACCTTCTTTGATAAGCAAACATTCCATTAAATTTATGTTTAAATACTAAAGTGAATATTCTTTTTTGGAAAGAATATTGTCATTCTTTTATAAACTGAACTGATAAATAATGAAATATATTTTTTGAAGAGAAGAAAAATGAAATCAGGTCATCTTAATAATTAATTGCTTGTCATACTACTATTAATACTAATACTACTACTGATAATAATATTATGAAAAGTATATATAATACAACCTTGTGAATACTCTATGTTGTTTACTTACCTGATAAGATTATTTCTTAAATCAGTCTTCTGTTTAATAAAATCTCTGTAACACCACCGTAGACCATTGTCTTTAGTGAGCTGATATTTCACAACAGACCTAGTTGAACTCCACTGGTAACAACTTCTCACTAGAACTCCAGGAGTATCTCTTGAAGTCAGTCACTAGTGTGTAGATGATTATTATCAGAAGGGATTTTGTGGAGATTTTAGAAATTTCACTGATTGAAATCATGAGTCAATTTTCATGGTGGTCTAGCTTCAATTGACTCATGATTTTATTCAGTAAAATTTCAAAAATCTCCACAAAACACCTTCTGATATTACTTAATAAGCAAAGATGGATAGTAGTTAGCAGTGGAATCCAGTTTGACGCTCATTTCATCCTATTTGGGACTCGTCAACTGGGTGTATTTGTTATTATTTAATAGTTATAATACTAGAATTTGTAATCTTAGAGAACATCAACTTAGCTATTCTTTTAAAACTAACACAATAAATTAAATAAGAACTTTTGTTTAAAATTTATTGAATAGTTTCATAGCATTTGGGCTCCAAGTTGATATGAGACATTAGAGAGGAAGAATGTTGTATTTGTAAAAACGTTTCACCTGGCAATCTGATCCAAGCTTTTTCAAGGAAAATATAATCAAATATCAAAATTATCGATTATAAATAGGTACATACTTTTCTGGTTTACTGTACACTGAATAAGTCGTCTAATCAACTTCAACAATGTTTAAAGTAGGTATTTACATTAGTGTGTTGGAGACATGTGGTTTGAAACGAAAAGTGTTAAGATAACAGAATGTGTATATACGTAAGTGAGATGAAGAAGTTTCATTCACTACATATTGTCTTCGGTCGGTGAATATTAAGAAAACATTATTTGTATATATGATATGAATCGGATATGTCACAGCATGAGATTCCAACCCAGTCTTGCCCGTCTAATTTCAACCAATCCACAAAATTGAGCGACACATCCACCATTGTCATCAGTGAATTACTATCCCACAACCGACCCGATTAAACTTCACTGGTGACTGCTTCTCACTAGATCTCCAGGAAACACCTCTTGAAGCCAGTCATTAGTGGGCATATGTTGATTAATATCAGAAGGGGTGCAGATAAGATATCTGATTAGAACCGTTGAATGTAATTTCCGTTATTCAGTTAATACGAGATAGATCAAATGGAATAAGGAGTTCATGTTTACTTATTAATGATTAGTTGACATGGGACAGCTAATTGTATTCCATCTCTCCTATTAATACTGTTTAGATTTGCCCATATATATATAGAGCTTACTCTGTTAGTCTCTCTTTGTAAAAATTGAAGCCTTTTTGAAGAATTCTTGTACCAGTGAAATCAATTGTATGACCTGATTCTATCGAGTATACTGCTATCGCTGATTTGTTCTGGATTTTTCTTGGTTTGTGTTCCTTCGTTCTCACATTCAGTTACCTTGATGTTTCACGTACATACGTTGCATTACAGTCACTACATTTGATTTCATAAACACAATTCTGTTGTTCCTCCTTGTGTACTGGATCTTTGATTCTTACTAGTTTTGATCTTAGAGTATTGTTTGTTTGAAAGTATACTCTTATATTTAAATAAATTGCCCAACATTTTGTACTAATTCTTTGATAAAACATGAATGTGACATAAGTGATATGGTTTACAATTCAGTTAATTCGAATCGAAATGAACAATAAACGTGTCAACTTAAACGGAAGTACACTGAAGCAGTAGTTATGTCTGTTAAGTTCGTGGTTCGATTTCAAACCATGTTCCACATTCTCTTCAACTACTGAATTATGTTGCTGAGCGAACGCTATCCTGGTAGTCTGTGTCAAAGTATGCAGCTCAGGGAAAAAGTAGAAAGTAAGGCCCAGAACAGAGTGAGTTGGAGAATGTTAGTTGGCGGCTTATGCTTTATTTGGAGCAACAGGTGTAAGTAAGTAAGTATGCATGTATATATGTATGTATGATTTAGTATTTAGTAAGTTTTACTCTGTAGGTTTGCTGTATAATTGTCATAATTACCATTAGAACAATATATTAGGGTGTGTGAACATATACCGAAATGGTTGTAGAAACAAATAGACTGAATTGACTTAATAAGAATAAAGAATAAACATCCAGCATCCTCTATTGCAAAAGATATAATCAAAACAGGCCATAAGATTGATCTTAACTCGGCCTTTGTGATGTTGTATAAAAGTGTAAAAGGGCGTATACTAAGGTTTATTGAAGCCTTAACCATACGTAAATTCAAACCCACTTTATGTAGTCAAAAACAGTTTGTTCTCACTGTAAACCTACCCTGGTAACATTAAGTTATTAATCAGAGTGATGAAGTTTCAAATTGTTTTCACATTATTTCTTTATTAGCCTTGTCTCCCTCTCACCCTCTATTTCTAGTCTAGTTGACCTTTTATTTCTTATATATAAATGGTCTTAACAACTATATTATGAATGATCAAATTGTTCGAAATGTAATGCACCAATGTATCCACATAGTTCTGATATTCATCGTCTTCTTATTACACTATTGAAATTTATCAAAGGGATTAATTGCTTTGCACTGATTACTTGTAAACGAACAGAAATTTGATTCTCTTATTATTTGGATAATAAGTTACGAGTAGATCAATCAACCAAGCTTCAATAACAGACGAGAGCAAAATTTGAACTTAACACTGTAATAATTCTTTCTTATTACAGACAAGCTATTTCTATTGATTAGTACTCTTCCCAAATAAGAACATGGTTGAACAGGAAACAAATTATAATCCAAATAACAAGGGTAGATGAAAATAGGAAGCAAATGATGAAAGTCGAGTTCCTTCTAAAGGCACAAGCTTCATTCCCCTTCTCACAACCAGAGTAACCATTCATTTAAATACATGGAATGTTGGTACAATATGGGAGAATAATTCAGATAATGGTATCATCGTAGACGAAATCCTCTCCATTGAAGCTTCTGCATTCTCTTAATGAATCAATCAACTACTTCCGTTTTCTCAATTATATCTTTTGTTGTATTCAATATGAATTGAAATATTTAGAAACAACTATGTGAAATTTCATGCCACATTGTATTTATGTGAGAAATATGGTTTACAATGCTTCAATATAGGTCATATATTTCTGTAATCTTCAATGTTGATAATGTGATTTAACAGAATGAATCTCTTAATTAATAAGTGGTTAATATTTTCAAAATCTATACGTTAAACATTCTGGTTTTTATCTAAATCCAAATGACAGTTGTACTTAGCTGAGAAATTCTATGCTTGCATAAAATATCTATCCAATATTATTTTAGTTATTATTTGTTGCACTTCTGAGGAGTTCCATTCTAGGACGAAGCAGCTGTTGAATGCTTCCAGGTTTTCAATGGTAGTCTAAAATTCATGCATTCATAATATCAATTTAAAATCCAAATTTTTTCACAACCCTATACTGATATCTGGAATTAGTTTGTGTTAAGACAATTTACATACGCTTGTTACTCTCGATGCCGCCGACAAGCATTCTCCAACTCACTGTGTCTTCGGCCTTCCTTTCCAGTTCTAATCAGTTCTTGTAAATTCTTTTCATGTCTGTATCCGTTTCTCAGCGTAATGTGTTCTTCGGTCATCCTCTTCTTCTTCGGCTCTCAGGATTCCGTGTGAGGGCTTGCCTTGTGACACAGTTGGGTGCTTTCTTCAGTGCGTG